AGGAGGCGAGGAGTCGAGGAACTGAGATAGCGTGATGTGTAAACGGTAATCAGAACCGAGCTCGGCCTGGTTAACTGATCCAAGCTCGGACCGGTCTAAGCATGGTTCGGTTTTTCAAGGGTAGTGTAAATGTTGTAAAAGACTCAAAATGTAATTGTGCCTTTAAATCATGCAAGATACACAGCAATGGTATCACTGCATATAAATAAATGTTTGATAAACACGTCATGCAATGACTAAATTAATGCCTGTCATGTAACCCTTGGTGCCCGTGGAGAAGGACCGATCTGCTGCACAGCATGGTGGGAAAAAGTAAAAGGCAATTATTGATGAAAACAGTCCCAAAGCCAAAGTTATGCTGGTTCCAGTTATATTAACTAAGGAGAAAACCCTGGCTGGGCTTTAGAGAGCAGCGACAGGGAGCATCAGCAGGAACAGGCTCCCTGGAATACAACAGCTCTCTATATTTCTCATTCTGAGCCTTCCACATGTACAGGTGCCATGCAGAATATTAGATTTGGAAATGTTAGGAATCTGTCATGAGACTCAGAAATACATGTTTAAGTCTGGTGATCCAATTTAATCTCTAATAATCTCTAGAGTTCTTGACTCTGGTAGTAAGGAACGACTTGGCTTATGAATAATTAACAAGCATTCATTGTAAAAATATTTGTTAGCGCCCCTCCCTCCTTCCCCCCAGCCTCTGTATATCAGGGTTGAACAGATGTGAGCAGCAGGACAGTATTAATGACTGTTTTTTAATACTGCTGCATAATACAGGGCAATGCAGCTGTAAATATGAAGATGAGTTTGTGCAGCGGTGCCATCACAGAGGGCTTTTTGGATGTGATTGCTGGTAGAGTACTGGATTTCAAGAGTCATCCATTCCCACTCTGCACATCAACAACATATTTGGCCAGTTGGATGGAGCCTAACGGCTCTTAAACTCAAATATTAGGTACATTTTTAACGGCAGATATTAAACACAAAGAGAAATGTAGGAACATTTGCATTGTGGAAAAGAAGAAAAGACTCAGGGGTCAGAAATATTGTCCAAGCAAATATTTTCTTTACATTAACCTATAACCCCTTATATGCAATTTTATCATAAATCTTTTAAATGTAAATACAGCTGAAGACATTGATATAACTGCAGTTATTAAGGTAAATAAAACCGGATGATTATTTAAAGGTTTTTTTGATCGAGAAATATGAACATATTTAGATTCAGAGATCAGAATCTGACCCGAGCTTATAAAACCAGTCAGTGTAACTTTAGATAATGTCCAGCATTAGCATTAGCATCCCTCACTGGAAAAGGTGACATTTTTAGCAGAACCAGAGATAAATACACACGGGTTATAATAAAGGTTTATTGTTGCTTCTTATAAAGTGGATGTTGGAAGGACTAGATGGCAGCGGATGTGAAAAAGATGTTGGTAGATCAGTTTTATCAGAGACTTTCAATAAGAAATGATTTAGAACTGAATTAATAGGAAATTTATATGATTACATGTATCAGATCAGGACAAGGACTAAAACAATCGGATTAATAGTGATTAATTGATTATTGAAACAGTCATCAACTAATTTACTAGTAATCGATTAATACTTAACTGGAGAATAGAGACTCTTAAACATGCCTTTAGCTGAAAGAGTGACCAACTTAGAGCATTATGCTGATGAAGATTCTCAGTCATCCAGGTCATAGTCATTCCATAAAAGTTTAAAAAAATATTCAGTGGACTTGGTTTCCAAGATTTGAATCTATTTCAAATCTTGGAAACCAAGTCCAGTGGATATTTTTGGAACTTTTACGGAACTTAGAGCATTTATTATACCAAAAATGTAAAAAAAAAAATAAAATAAAATATGTAAACCTTTTGCATTTAAGATAAAAAAAAAAAAAAAACTTTTCCGCCTGTCTATATGCTCTATCCAAAACTCCTAAAGTGGGAAAGTTTTAGTTTCACCTGTTTTAATTTTGTAAAAAGCCTTTTTTTAGGAACCTTTGGCTGTCTGATTATTAATCAATGATTTGAAACAAAGAATCGACAGATTAATCGATTTGCAAAATAATCGTTAGTGGCAGCCCTAATCAGGACATTTCTACTCTTTAAATTGCAAACATTAGAACCAAATAATTATATTTTATAAGTTTTTACCATTTCTGGTAATTTCTTCATAGGATCACAAACTGTGAGTTAAAAGGATAAGCATGATTTAAGTCTTGTCACCTGATCATCTCTTCAATGAGTTTTACACAGGATGTGTCTCTTGTCCATCATTGTTCCAGATGAATGGATTATTATTATAAAACTGGTGACATTCTTTTCACAGCCAGTGTTGCACTGCAGCAGCAACACGTTTGGCCACTTTCCCTCTAACATACAAACCTTTTTTGGTTTTCATCTACATAGATCACATACATATTTTACTAAGTTTAACTTAAGGAGTTGAAGAAAAGCTTTTGTCTGTATTTAAGCATCTTGATGCCAACCATGCGGTGGCTTACCGTCAAACAGCTTACAAACATCGAGTTGAAACAGGCTGAGCTGCTTTAAAAACAGAGAGGAAGGTGTTTTTGGATCATGGAAAACTACTTTGATGATTAGTCTCAAAAATTAAAAAGCTACCACCCTCATCAGTTTCTCCGAAAGTGCTTTTTAAATGACAGGATGTTGTATATTTGGATTTCTTCACTCTCTCTTTTGAGCACAAATACATTTTTGTACGTTGAATTTTCCGGAAGTACGGAGTGTACAAGTGGACCTGGCAGGAGAAGTGAAACTCTCACCGTTTTACAGACAGAGTTATGCTGACTGTTAGTGATGTTTAGAAATATTCAACATCTCTATGATCAGAAAAGCGGATCTCATTCTTCCTCCTCGCATTTCCATCTTTCATGCGCGGTTTCGCAGAGCTGCAGATCTTGGAGAAAACGAGACCCTGTTTTCATGCTGGGTTGTTTATATCACGAAGAGTTCACAGGAACTTAACATCCTCTGTTTCTTTTACTCCCNCCTCCACCGGCCGCGCAGACAGAGGAAGAGCTGGAGTTGGTGAGTGAGGTGAATAGACTTTCAGAGTTTCAGCCTCGTGGATGTGGTGTCAAACTCTGTGTGATCTCACTAGCATGAGTGTGACACCATCAGCAGATGCATCCCGTCAGGGTTCACCCAACTATGAGGGCAGATAAAGAAAAGGCGCTGGAGCATGAGAGCGACTCACTAACAGATGGATCTGCACCTGGTTGCTTCTGTTCATAGAAAGAATTTATTTGTAGGAATCTGGTGTCGTTTCTTTCTAGCCGTAAAACTCCCACCTTTCTTCCTCTTCAAGGTGCTAAAATATGTAATAGATTTAAATATCTGGCTTCTAAATTAAAGCTTTAAATAGAAATACGCTGAACTCGACTTATATGTGTGTTAAAAAAGAAAAACATCAGAAAATGTTTGTTTATTCACCATAATCTGTTGACGGCTCCAAAAACAAGATGTTTTAAAAAAATTTATTTGTGCAGATTTTCTCTAGATCATCCAAAACTGGACAATAAAGCAATAAAAAAATATGTATCACAGTAGATACCGGATCAGTATCTATAGGAAATGGAGCCTATAATGCTTAAACTCGCACAGCATTCTGGGAGATGTAGGCAGAAGAAAAGTAGCCTCTCAACCTCTGAATACCCCTAAGCAGGACTGACATCATTATAAATGTTAAATGTTGTGTTTCGATAAGGTTACATTTTAGATGTTGGTTCATTATTGGAAATAGAAAAATCAAAAACATATAAATAACATCCGATATCGACGATATGCGAGGCTATCGTCATATAGCCCTATGCCCAATAATTACCCCTCAAATCTGTTCTATGTTTATTTGCTCATATCTTTGGGACCATTATTTTACTGAAAGTCCCAGTAAGCTATTTGCTAATTTATAAATGATAAATTCATGCGTGTAATAGGATAGAAATAAGGCAAGGCAAGGCAAATTTATTTGTATAGCACAATTCAGTACAAAGACACTGCAAAGTGCTTTACATGATTAAAATATAGCAAAATAAAACAGAATAAAGAGAAATAAAATAAAAAATGCAGAAACAAAAAAGAACATTAAAAACAGTTGGACTAGTGAAAATAAAAAAGTTGAACTAATGATGTTTCAGTTAAACTGTTTAACTTGAACAGTTGAAGGCAATGCTAAACAAATGTGTTTTTAATCTAAATTTAAAGGAACTCAGGCTTTCCGCTCAATAGGAGCTTTTGCTTCCTTCGACCCCTTCTATGGTGATTTTGTTTCTTTTCCTCTTTCTTTCTGAGTTTAAGTAGATAATAAGAGCATAACAGAAAAAAAATGTTACTCTGTTTTGTTTGATTGTTCAACAATTTCTTTTAGTTTTCTCTCAGGCACAAGTTTTTTTCTTTAAAATATCCTGATATCATAATTCCCTATGAAACCATTTAACCCGATAACGCTCCCACGCCGATGACATCGTTATAACCTGAATATATGAAAGAGAGTCTGTCAGAATCACTAAAACAAAACCTAAGCATCAGCTGTGACTCAGAATATCTGTCTCACTGATATCACTGCCAAATGAAGTTTCTAGCTCCTCTTACCAACACACTGGAAAAATGATCTAGAAAAAAGTTAATATTTCTCAAATTAAGTGTATTTACCCTTAATTTGAGTTGGTAAATGAGATGATTTACCAATGGGATGAGTATTTTTACTCTTAAAATAAGATATTTAGATAAAATGCACTTGAAATAGGACCTTGGAATGGTGTTTTTTTATTTTAACGTAAATTGTCTTGTTCTTGGCAAAATGTCTCTTTTACCTTTTTAGTTCAAGAACAAATGCACTTATTTTAAGAAAAAATTACTTATCTAGATTTAAATTTTTCCAGTGCACAAGTGTAAGTCTAGCAATCATTTCTAAGTATTTAATTTAAAATGAAAAGCAACTCTCTATTTTAAAGATGCTCTTAAGGTTTTAGAAATGATCAGCAAGTTTGATAAGAAAAAGGAATATTTCTGTCGCACTAGAGCCTGGGCACGTTTGTGCAACACGATGACTATACAGGAGGGAAGATTAAGGGAACTGGAGCAACCAGCTGACTCTCTGCTGTGTGTGAAAGCTGCTCAGCATGTGCATGTTTGGTTTCATCTGAGTGTCTCTGCTCGGAGGATCAGAGAGAGGAAGCTCCCAAAGTCTCCAACCTGGAGCGCAGATGGACATGCTAGCCTCCGATACTCTGACCCCATTCAGTCCGACACACACACCCAAACCTAAGCACACACACACACATTTCTTTGCATTTATATCCAGACCTCAGAGCAAGCGCACATCTTGTTTTTTTGTTTTTTCATGGGGTACCTGTCTGTTTACATTTTTCTAAAATAAAAAAAATAAATAAAGAAATCCATTCTGTGGCACACACTCATCTCTTCCTCCTGTCAGCCTTGTCCCTGCATGTGTTCCTACCAGCATGATTCTCCTGCACGGCGCTACATCTCACAACACCTTCCACCCTGACTCTACATAACGCCACCACCGGGTCCTGGTGACAGGCGTTGCCGTGCCAACGCCACCTCAAGATGCGAGTTTGTTCTCGTCTGTCACAACGATGTTAAATTGTCGCAGGAAAGTCATAAACCCGCAGGGAGAAAAGCAGCTGATGGGATTTCGTCGCAGAGAGCGGGACGTCTGAGGACGTGGCGTGATGTCGAGCAGATCTACGCTGCAAACAAATGAACTAATTAATTAGAATACTTTAGATTTCTTCTAAAGTAATCTAATTAAAGTTTTACTTAGCAGTTTAAAAAAAAAGGCATCTGCTGAGTAAAACTTTGCATTTCTTTTTGTCCAAGCAGAGGGTACAAATAATTTATTATTTCAGCTCCATGTGAAACAGGCTGTTTATAGGGAAATATTTCAGTGGTAACTAAATTGTTCTCGGTCACATTGCAAGGTTTCTGCATCTCCTTTGCTGCACAGTGGAAGGCACATGCTAACCATTATAACCGTTTTCTGTCGAAAATGGATGAAGTCATGTGCTCTGAACTTCAACACTTCGCTCCATATAAGGAGAAAAAGGCATGATTTCTTGTGGAACCAGATCAGATTGTCTCATAACACAGAGCCAGAGCTCCCAGCATATACAGAGTCTGGCAGGGTCTTCACACTGCTCCACATTTTTAACATTTTGTCACATTAAAGCCACTAACTTTCATACACTTGTTTGGGGTTTTATATGACTTGCAACAAATAATATAAAGCAGTTGGTTGATTAAATAAAAGTAACATTACTTTTATGATACCAATATAAACAATCTAAAATATGGTTGAAGATGATGAGATAATTAAAGGTCAATATTAATAGTTAAAAGCTGCAGAAACATGTAGACTATACAATAATCACTGACTCTCCATCGAATTTCTGATTGATTGATTGTCTTTATTGATCTCAAAGCAGAGAAATTTACTCGTTAAATCAGCTCAAATAGTCAAAAGAGAAGAAGAATGTGCAAAAGGAAGAAAAAGGTGATACATACAGTATATATAGTGCATCCACAAATGACAGCTAGATAGATATTTATATTTATGTATATAGTTATTGAATAAGTTCCCAATAAAACCTGCACCTGTACCTGCAAGGACTGAATCCTCACTTTATGTCCTACTTTTCTCATTTTTCTTAGTAGAGTTTTGCAAACACTGGCTGCAGAGCTGCCTGCAGCTCTTTGGACCGCACCACAGTGGCTCTTAATGACTTGGGCTAAAATGAAAAAGAACCAATTTGTGTTTTTTATGATAAATACAAAACATATACTGCAGCATTTAGCAAAATCTTTCATTTTTTTCATGAATTTTCTGAATTTGTGCAAGAAAATGTGTTTTTGTCTATTTCTCTTGTCATTATCTGTTGTTTTGTTTTGTATTTATTGGTATGTTATTAGGTTTACAGATCTCTGTTGTTATTCCAACGAGACATACCATTTTAAATAAAGGTTAGAAGCATTAGATTGGAAACACATCATCATCCCATACTTTTCTCATTTATATTTTTTGCAAAAATAGAATGACTACCTTGTAAGCAAGATGAATTGTCACGAGATTCCTAAAATACGTATTGCTAGAAGCCAGCAGATGCATTTGCCTTGAAGGGATGTGTAAAATGTCAACGTATGAACCAGAGGCGGAAAGCTGAAACAGGTTTTACTTGGGACATCCCTTATTTCTTTTTAAGGGCAATAGGATGCCATTTGTGCCTTTGTGGATGGGATGGGAGACATTTCCACGTTCCTTAAGATGTTTGCATGTTAAGCGTTAACTCTGCTTATCAAGAAAGTGATGCCTCAAAACTGCTACTGCTGATGCATTTGGGAGCATTTTGCATGTGCCACTTGATTTACCAAATAAGTTCGAAGAATTGTACTAAATCTCTACGTGAGGCTGTCCAGATGGATATTGTGTACAGTAGATTTCAAATTGAGCAACACGTATCAATCTAGCTTATGCCAGGGTAACAGAATGATGGTTTGCTAAAAATGTAAACATTTTTGAGTACTGTAATTTCCGGACTATAAGCCGCAACTTTTTCCTCATTTTTCGACCTTGCGGCTTATATAACAATGCGGCTTATCTATGGACTTTTACAGCTAAAGGCCACTAGGGTAATACCTAATCTATGGATTTTACCATCCACCATGTTGAGGTCACATTTGCTTCAACACACAAGTAGGGTAGCCGCGAGCGCGGGAATGCGGAGGTCCTCCGGAAGCAGACTTCTACCGCGAGTGGTACGAGACAAAACGACAGCGAGAAAGACGGACATTGCGAGCGCAAGACAGTTTGTGTGACACCCTCATTATGGAAAACAAACCTACCGGTAGAAATAATAAATAGGAGCTTCCCAAACAGTTGCCTCTTTCTCGACAATCCTCTCTGTGCACGAACCATATGGTAATTAAACATAAAAAAACCTGCTGCTTATAGTCCGGTGCGGCTTGTATATGTACAAATCATGCAATTTAGCTTCTGCGGCTTATATCCAGGTGCGGCTAATAGTCCGAAAATTCCGGTAGATAATTATCAAAAAAAAATTTTTTCCATACTTTTTCATAAATCCATTCGATTTGCAGCTCCAATAACTTTTCTTTAGATGGACTGAAGGCAACAAAGGCTTTCAGATGTTGAACAAAACAAGAAATATGTATCATGTAATTCCAGATCAGAATCAATCTTTGCTAGTTTGTCACAAAAAAAGCCCTTAAAGCCTTTAAAGTTAGTGGTTGTAACATAAAACTGGCTAAAGGCTCAAAGGGTATGAATACTTTAACAAGGTAGCTTGAATTTACCTGAAAAAGTCTTAAAAAACGTACATCACTGCCAGAAAAAGGCTTTTAGAAAGAGATGTTTCAGACTCTTTGGATGTTGGATTCCATCTCAGATGAAGTTACATCAGAGCAGAATTGCCAGAGGAAATAATAATTTAGCATAAATTAAACTTCTCTGCACATAGAGGACATGCAGAACATTCAGACTTCAGTAGCTTTATAAAAGCATTTAAGTGGAAAACTTTTCCCCCCGCAGTCAAAATGAACTAATGTTGCTTTTATTCCTCCATTTTTTTCCTCTTCCCAGAATGCTCAGCGGCTAGGTAGCTCTCAGGTGACTCAGCCGCTCACAACTCCAGTGGTTTCTGTGGCAACACCCAGCCTCCTGGCTCCCTTTCCCGGCATGCAGACGGCCTACAACACCGGTGAGTCCTTCAATGCGGCGCTGCCAGACACAGTGAGCCTTAACCGCATCCCATCAGGGCAGGGAGGACATCACTGCCAGCAGAGGTTGAATTCAAAGTCATGGAAAAGAGAAAAATTTAAGAAAAAAAAACAATAAAGTCTATTATTTCCTGAAAAAAAAAAATCTATTAACTGCCATGAAGCAAAAGCTTGCAGTGTGCTGCCACAAACGGCTATGAATATTCACTTTGTTCATTGTGTGAGAGCTTCTGGAATGATTCCACTTCAAAGGTCCACATTAATATGGATTAGCAGTGATTAATATTGATGCACCAGAAAGTTGTATGATGTAAAACAATCCCCCTCCTCTCCATCCCCTCTTCACCCTCTCTCTCTCTCTTAATGTCTTTTCTTCCTTCCCCTAATCCCAGAGTACCAGCTGACGAGTGCGGATCTCACAGCCCTTCAGACTTTCACACCACCAGGGCTGGTGCCTGGCAACATGGCCGCCTGGCAGCAGCAACCGGTCGTCTCCCAGCAACAACAACAGCAGCAACAGCAGCTGACACTGGCATCACTCAATAACTTGGTGTAAGTTTTACACCTGTGACGTTTTCTGCTCTTTAGACTGATTCTCGCAGATTAACCCCCCCCCCATCAAACACACACGCACTGATCTTTTACACAAACGCACTTGAGCTGATTCAGTAAAAAAATTGCAGCACATTTTCTAAAAGCATCTCATCCATACGAAGCTGTGGCATCACCCCAGCTGTAGTTCATTTATCTTGTGGTGACCTAGATACCCCCACCTCCTTACTCCCTTTGCGGTTCTGGTCTGATTTAACTCCTGGTGCAGACGCTAGAAGCTGTGCCATCCAGCACACAATCTGAAGAACGGACCGTCATCTTGTTTGGACCGTTTAGAATAACTGCAGGAGTCTGATCTTTGGCTTTAGCAGATTTTATCCTGCAGAATATGAGGAACAGAGAAGGATGACCTCAGCTATGTAGTTTAGTTTTCATTAACCTTCTGCTGAACCGGTGTAAACATACTGTACAGCTGATATCTAATTATTCTTAGTCTTCTCCTGTGGCGGTTCTAGGTCTAAATTTTCAGGAGGGCCAAGGTTCCTTCATAAAACACAAAACAGGGCACTAATTCATTAAGTGCCATTTCATTGAGCTAAAGAGCTTAAGATAAAGCAGATAAAAACTGAGATCCCGATCCTAAATATAACTAAGTGTAATTTAAGGTTTGTATCAATAACATTAAACTTTAAAAGAAAAAGAAATGAAATTGGTCCAAGGTTTAAGTTTAGTCCAGGGGCCATAACAGGACCCTCAACCAGTTTTTTAGAGGGGCACAGGCCCCTTTTGTCCCCTGGCTAGAACCGCCCATGGTCCAATCAGTTAGTCTCCTGGTTATTTCCATTAAAGATAAAGAAAAGAAAATCATCAGATATTCTGTTGATGTTTTTAAAGATATGACTTTAGTTTTAGTTTTTTTAAAACTGATATTTTAGACGTTTTAAAACCTGTTAAATCCAAACATCCGGGAAAAATAAAAATCATTTTTAATGATAGTTATGTCACAGATTTATGCTATTTTTATTTTTGTGATAAGAGTATTACTTTAATAAATTTCCAGATATATATTTTTATTTTAATATTACTTAGTTTTAAAGTCATCGGGCTAATTGGCAGCCTGCTCTTCTGGAGTTTAGGTGGAGAATTCTTCAATTTAATCAATATGAGACAAAAAAAGAAAGAAAAATTTGTTTTTGTATTTATAGTTATTGTAGGATTTTATTCAAAGTGATCGGGCATTAAACGGGCAGATAGAGATGTAAGGATAACAGGCAGCAAACGCAACAAGGTCAGGAATGGAATGCTGGATCGGGTACAAAACTGCAGGTCGCCCTGAGTCGACTTTTTATTGCTCCGTTCATCTTCTCTCATATGATGTGGAGAACAATAATGCACCTCAGATTTTAAAGGACTCATCAGCCCAAAGAGCGAAGCAGCTCAGTCTTGCTTTTTAACTGAATTCACTCCTCACTCACTAGGAGCATACAACAGCCTGGTAGACAGAAATAACCTGAAGATTTTCCAAAAGAGATGCAAATGCATCACAAAGCCAGAATCAAAGTGTCTTTTCTTTGCGTTTGTGTGTCAGATGCGACGCCTGTTGCTCTTTTAGTGCAGCTGAGAGAACGAACTCTTTTTTTTTGGCCCTCCGAGATTATGGGATAATTAGGTTTGTTCCAAGAGTTTTTTTTTTTTTTGTCACCTAAAGCTTAGATCTGAGGCTTTTTGAAAGTGTCACGAAGAAAGAGGGAACTGCTTCATTATGTCAGAAACAGCAGCTTGCTCGGCTGTTGAGTGAAAGGAGTCTCTCGGTGCTGCTTTCAGCCCTCAGAACAGAACCTGGGTGCAGCTGTGCGCCGGCGGCGCGACGCATCGCTTCAAGATTTTTGATTTTTATGCCGTAGAGCTGTCACTCTCCGCTGACAGACCCGTGATCCAACTGTTGGGATACATGTGGGCCTCAGATTCCTACGGTGGGAAACTAAAGGAAGGATGTAGATGTGGCTCAGCTGTCAAAGTCAGTTAAGGAGATAAAAGGAGGATTTGATTTGCTGTATGGAAAAGGATATTTCATTGTGGACTTAATGCTGGCGCTCAGATTGAATAACACTTTTTTTAAGCTTGAAATGAGTTTTAAAGTCTTTTTGAACAATCATACAGTTTCAGCTTGTATTTAATTTTAGAGACAGCTTCCTGATAACAATACAGATAAAGAAATAAGTTTATAAAAAGACACAAGGCTGGAGAATAATTAATTCTTCTGCCTGACTGCAAACAAAAGTGCTCTATGAAAATATGATAATAGGTTGTTTGTTTCTGTCTACAGCAGTGACTTTGGGGGGTTTGAAATTTAACAACAGTTTATAGTTAACAAAGCCCCCCCGAGCTCATGCTCAGCAGAACACGTCAAATTGCCATGTGAACATTAAGAACCGGCAGACCAGACTGTTAGAAATCCCTCTGCTACCAGATCAGCTGGTCTCAGATGCTAAAACGCAGCCTGCAGTCGTTTCATTCGCTTAATAATGCGACAAACACCAACCTCACATCAATACCCAGTGTTTCTCCCATTGGCTTTGTCCTTAACATCAGAACTTTTAATTTGCAATTAATAACAGAAACTGTGTAGCAGTATAATGGCCGTAGCATGATGCAGCATTAAGAGCTACAGAAAATAAACTTTTAGCTTCAATACATTAATGCAGTGAAGAAAAAGAACCCCAAATAAATGAATAATTGTCTTTTTGTTTATTTGGCCCTCCCCTAATAATTACCTGTTAAATTAAAAAAAATTTTTTTTTCCTTTTCTAAGTTTAATTGTTTTAATCTCTCAAAACCCACCAGGTCGCTGGCGACCCGTTTTAAAGTTTTTACAAATACTAACTCAGAATGCATGAAAATTCCACTGGTAAAATGTTTATCAATATAGATATGATAGACAACGCTGAAAAAATCTTAGATTCTCCACAATTCAACCACTTAGTTCATTTTATTGACATAGCAAGCACCAAAGCACAATTAGAGTAGCATGTCGAAATGTAGCATGACAAAGCAGCCTCAAGAAGCAAGCATGTCTTTATTACTTAATTACTATTAACTTTGAGTCATGTTTGAACTGATGCAGCTTGGGTGTTTTACTCACCCAATCATCTTCGCATATATATTTAGAAACTAGAAGGTGTTTGCAAATAACGAATCAGAAATGTAATTTTGGCTTACAGTTCCTCAGTTATTTGCTTTTCCATTTGGGTATGCGCACCTCGCTCTTCTAGCTGGTCAAACTTCAGGAGTTGTTTTCCGCAATTTCGGTCATAAAAACAAAACAAGCTGACTTCCTGTCTGCGGCACTGTTTGCGGTCAGCTACAATTTGGGAGAGGTGCAGCGGAGCGTCTGTGGAGGGGGCGGGGACGTCTGGAGCCGAGGTATTGCATTCCACTCATTGCACTGATTTTGTGCTTTATTTTTTTTGCAAGGCCTTTCAGAATCTATAACGCAGGGGTATTATTATTTTTCAGTGAATGAGGTTTTAATAGGAATAGGTGGAGAACAACTTTTCTACAACTTTTCTTTTGTTGTTTCTCAAAAAAATGCATAACGATATTACAGCTTTCATTGATTTATTTCAAATTTGAAAAATTGTCTAGCCTGTAAGGTGAAAAAAAAAAAAAAAAGAACCAATTAAACGAATCGAATCGTATCGTGGTGTTTTTTGAGTATCGTAAATAATCGAATCGTTGGGTCAGGAAATCGATACTGAATCGAATCGCCATGATGGATGTGATTTACACCCCTAGTTGGAGCGAAATTTAGAGGTTTAGATTGGAACCGGTTTTAAAATGTTCTCTTTATTTCTTAAAAGACTTCGAACAGAATTAATCTACATAAACATGTATTAAGCTAACAGGAAGCTAATCAATGAAAATGCGGCAAAAACTGACATTTTTATTGGACATTTTAATGAATCCTGACCTCTTTCTGCAGTGATGCTGCCCCCTGCTGGTTGATAGATGGGGTTCATTCCAATTATGATTCTGGTTTTATTGGAAATGTGACAAAAAGAACAAACACCTGAGATGATGATCCCTGAAACGTCGCTCTTCAGAACTCAATATGGCTGCAAGCATCACATACACGCTCTACAAACTTTCATTATTAACACATTCCTTTATTCTTTGACATTAAACACAGAGTTAAGAGGTGTTTATTTTTACATGCATGTAAAGTTGTCTCAGTAATGAGCAAATCCCTGCATTTCTGACATGCTTCCGGAGACGCTTTATTCAGGTCAGACATCATGACTGGGAGAAAAAGATCAACATTACTCTTCTAAAAGGTTACAAACCTAATATTTTAGAAGGAATAACTCATACAAGAATACAACATGAGTTAAAAAAAGGTTCAAATGCAAGGTTATGGATGGGTCAGAGTTCAAGAATTAATTCACATCCTGATGAGTTTATTTGTGTATTAAATAAAACTCCTATTTATGAATAAATCTAAATATCATCAACAACATCTCAACTTATCTCAACCTAAAAAAATGTTTTCTGGAAAGCTACCTCATTAGCTAATACCTTCTTGTGCGAAATTAGCATTTGCAAAAGAATTATGTATATTCATTAATCATAGAAAACAACCTAGGAGCCCAACTTCTCTCCTTTTGAATAATTGCTGTGCTAAAATAGCCGAAACATGCGAGCACAGAAATCAGACGCGGTTTTCCAGAATAAACAGGATTTATATTTCCAGCCATGATCATGCAGCCAGATGCTGATTGTGGAAGCAATTCAGCTCCTGCCGCTTTGACTCCAGAATCAGCACTGGGCAGACTCTCTGAGCCGTTTGTGTGTGCGAGTGTGGGAGCAGGATAACAGAATCGCTGTCACTGAAAACAAGGGAGCAGCACAGAAATGTGGGAATCTTTCCCAGCTCACCAAACGGTTCTCACAGCATCACGGAAAATCGTGCTGTCCTGGGACAGCAGGGGCAGACGTGGGCACTTGTGCAGCCCAGACTGTTTCTGCCTTGTTTTTGATTCCTCGCAGCGTGGCCTCACCGCCAGCAAACAAGCCCTCCTAATCAAATGGTGATTGACGGCTTGGCTGCGAGCCTCGCCTCGCCTGTCGTATACACTTTTCCTCTCTGCAGGCGCCACAAGGAAATTATTTCTGTCATCTTATTTTCTCCCATCCTTCCCCTTTTAATCATCCACTGCTTCCGTTTTTTTTCTCTCGTTTCCGTCCCCTTCATCCAGGCCTAGTTAATTCAATGTACACCTGTTGATCTCAGCTTCCTCTCGACTCCCCGATCTAAACGTTAATCAGTGACCCGGCCTGTAAAAACCAGCGCCTGCAGAGCAGCGCTCATGGCCAGCTTCTACATTTATGTAGAAATACTTGCAGAAATGTGTCTGTTGGCAAGTAATCTACATTTTTTTTTATCTATAAAATGATGTGAATTATTAAAGCTAAACAACAAAAAAAAACTTTGATGAAAGATGTAAACAAAAAGATTTTTTTAATTTTTTAATTAGATTTTATTTTTTTGTATATCAAATTTTTCTATTTCCTTTTAACATAGGTTGTATTTGGTTAAATCTATTATAAATCTTATGGTTCTGCTGCAGCAAAGCTTCTTAACCCTATGATATTTCTTTCCCCGTGCTTCGCATAGGTGAGGAAGTGTTTTACTAAAATGCTGTTTAGTTTGTGCCCATCTTCTCCTACCTTTTTTCCCCAAGTTTTATTCTCTTCTGTCCAAAGAATGTAATTTCTGGTTCGCAGACTTTCTAGCAAACTTGTTTAAAGTTTGATTAATTTTTTTTTCTTTGAAAGCAAATGTTTCCTCCTTGCAGAACTCCCATTAAAGTTCTACAGTCTCTCTGCTGTTCTGCAGACATGTGCTTTTATCCCATATAGTGTTCTCCAGGGGCGGTTCTAGACAGGGCCCAACAGGGGCCAGTGCCCCTGTAGATCATGTCGTGGCCCCTGCACTGAAGACATAATACTCAAAAAAAATTCTAATGATGAACAAACATGGTTACTTATAGGTCTTTTGGATCTATTTAATTTTTTTTTTTTTTTGCTTCACAAATTTTGTTTAACCAATTATTTAAAAACAATAAGGTGGTAGCTTAGGATCCAGGTTTTTCATCCGCTAAATGTTTTTTTTTAAACAAATTATAAAAAAAAATACAATAATTTTTACAGCTGAATTTATCAGTTTTTCTTTATTTATAATTCTGATTTTATAGAAAATGGCAATTTCAACTTGAATTAAGTCAAAAATACACAAAATTCCTAAATTATGTAATAATGTATATTCACCTGATGAGACATAGAATTTTAATTAAACTAAATTGAATAGAAATGTGACTTCATGCAACTCTTTTAATGTATTTTAATGTTTTTTTATTTCATGTTTTTCTGGGCCCCCATGAAAACACAGTGGCCCCCTCCTGGCCCCCTGGTACATTTGGTCTAGAACCGCCACTGGTGTTCTCTATCTCAAATCCGGATATTTTAGGGGTTTTTAAACTTATTTTAGTTAAACTTATTCTCAGTTAGATTCTGGCTCATTCCAACTTCCAGTTACAGTATAATTCGAGCACACTATTTCATCGTCACTTGGAATATAATTTTTTCATCTTTTTAAAAAGGTCCTTTTTATTCCTTAATGTCTCTGATGAACCTCTGATGCCCACACAGGAAACCCAAATAATTTTAAACATCAGTGGAATCTTTTTACCAAATAAAAACCCGTATTTTACCGTGCAGACAACTGAAAAGGTAACGAGACAACTAAAGGCTATTTTTGCACTGGGTTTTATTTAAGCGAAGAAGAGTAAATTAGGTAGGATATAAATTATGCATAAACTCTTTTAGACTTCTAACCCAAAAAGAAAGAAAAAAATCAATCAATTATTACATTGATCAGTTAGGAGCTACTTTGTGTTGATTTGTCTTAAATGGTGTGAATACTTTTTAGAAAGCAATGTGTGGACATTGTAAGCCAGTGCATTTGCTCTGTTTTAGTGCAAATTGTTTGAAATAAAGAATAATGAAAAAAGGCTTTAAGGGGAAAGGAGATTAGTATTTCATCTTTTCTCAGAATCCCCCTCAGAAATGCTTTTTTATGATCCATATTCCTTAAAGTGTCGTTCTTGTCCCTCTTCAGCTTCCTTACTAACTGTGTCTTAAAAAAAAAAAACATTAGAAGAATGAGCGTCAAAGTGCTGAAAGGCTTTTTTTTGTCCAGAGCTGAATTATTTTTTTTATTTGGTTCAAGTAATAAATCGTCTTTAAAGGCTAAGCTGAGGGTCGGATCAACAGAAGTTCAGCCTTCAATAAAAAAAATAAATAAATACATGTTGAATGAGAAAATTAAAAGTCATATCCACAATCTGAATGATTTCTCTAAAGGATGTTTTTATCACAAATTCTTTAACCCTTTATAGGGCGTTCAGTCAAATACTTTTAAAATCCAAATTTCAAGCCAATAGTGTTATTGGAATCCAGGAAGGAGCCTTATTACCTTTTTAATATAAAAAAAATATGGATATTTTAATGGAAAAATGAATGTCAATGTAATAACAAGAAACGCCAATGAAGGAAAGAAGTCCTGCATGTGAATAACTGTCCAGCTTTCATACTTCCCAGTGTACACAGCTCTGTCTCTAACAACCTGTAACAAAGCTGTTAAGGCTTTTTATTTGACGACTGGCCTCCGTCTCACTGTTTCCCTGCTGTTATTAGCTTTCTTAAAATTGCTTGTCTTCTGTGTTTTTTTCCCCACCTCCCTCCACAGCTTGGCTTCTCAGTCCAACTTTCTCTTGGGCAGAGAGGATGGCCTCTGCTGGTACTGTACTCTCTACTCTCAAGGCATACAGCTTACAGCATGTTTCTCTCCTAACATATCTGCATGATGGGTTCTTAGCTAAAGATTTGAGACATTTTGGGGTGAAACTGCAACTGAAATCAGATTCATTTGATTTCAAAACGAGCTAAATTATCTAAAAATAAGTACAAAATGTCTTAAAATAAGTGTATTTGTCCTTAATTTGAGCAGGTAAATAAGATAATCTGTTACCTGAAGATGTTTTTTCTCCCTAAGATAAGATAATTAAATAGTATGCACTTTAAAATGTTGTGTTACCTGCTCAAATGAAGGGAAAATACCCTTATTTCAAGAAAAACATTTTTTTCCCAATTCTGTTTTTTTTTATTTTTGCAGTGTAGATCAAAGATCTGCAGCTTTTTGATCTAAAAGCAGTTTGAATCATTACTGACCTCACCTTTTTTGTTAATATTATAAAAATCTGACTGTCTTCTGCACTCTTTCAATGTAATCCCTCCTTGATGCTTCGTCACGGTGCCTCTTTGGTGATGAAAATCAGCAGTTAGCCCAAAAATAATCTTTATCCGTCCAGCTTTATAATATACAAACAAAAAAATAATGCACAATGCTTGAACACATAACAATTTGATGCAATCCAGACGTTTATTATTTAGATGAAAAAAGAATATTAGCTTAAAGGAACATAATAGCTTATATATTCTTAATTTTCCCCTTTTTTCATGATTTTTTTTCCCCATTATTTTGGTTGTTTTTAGGTTAGTAACACTTAGAAAGTACCTTAATGTTCAAACTTTACAGTTCAACCTGTTGAGGAAGAAGTCAAAGACATCCACTGCTCTTACCAAACTCTTCCTGATTATCAGGAACCTTCATGTTTTCACTAAAGTGACTTTCTTCAAACTTTTTAAACATTCAAAATCACACAGGAGAAGCCATTGGCAGCAATTTCTTCAATTCTAGCAACTAATGGTTGTCATGGAGACTTTGTGTCTCTCTTTGCTCCTGATCGTTTAGCACTGAGCTTTGGAAATGTTGTGTTTAACTTTCCTCCCATCCTCCTGACTGCTGATGAGATAAACAAAGACATTCTTCCAAACTTTCTAGGCACATATTTAGCTGTAATTAACTCAAATTTAATTTCTACACTGAAAAAAATGGAAATCTAGATAAGTCATTTATTTCTTAAAATAAGTGCATTTGTTCTCGGATTCAGGAGGTAAAAGAGACAGTTTGCCAATGGAACAAGACAATTTACACTTAAAATTAGAAAACACAATTGCATTGTCTTATTTCAAGTGCATGTTATCTAATTATCTTATTTTAAGAGTAAAAATACTCATTCTATTGGCAAACTACCTCCTTTACCTACTTAAATTAAGAGTAAATACACTCAATTTAAGAAATTTCTAATTATTTCTGGATCATTTTTCCAGTGTAACAATTATTTTTTTATTTTTGACTTAAGAAAATCTTCAAACATTTATGCTTTTATTTATGCAGCATTTACCCCTTTTTTCCCCACTTCAAAGAAGAGGTACTTTATCGCATCCTAACCTTTGTAGCAGGACATCCTGGTGTCATTATGTAGTTCCTGAAAAATGAAATCATCTTTAAAAAAATAAGTTAAGATAAAAAAAAAAAGAAATTTCTTGGTCATAGGGGATGGATTTGAAGGAATCTGATTAGGGATCAGTTTTCTTCTCTCATCTCTTTTGGGAACCACAACAGCTCAACACACCTCTCTGCTTCTGGCTGTGCTCAATGTGCTGTTAATGTTTGGGTGGGGGGGGGATAGTCGCCGCTCTCACCTTCATCACTGTCACTGGTCTGCTGACTCCACCGATTTCTTTCACTCGCCTCAGCATCGGCACCCCAGTGGCACTCCCATCTATCTACCTGTACGCGGCGGAGCCACTTTGCGCCGGTTTGATGAAGTAGGCACAGGAAGAGACGAACTCGCTGCCACACAGCTGTGTGTCTTTGTGTGCTCAGAGAGAAGCTGTATTTATATGTAGGACAGTAAGCGTGTGTGTGTGTGTGTCAGTTAGAGGAAAAGTGTGAGCGCAGACCCAGATTGCCTGGAGCAGTGCTGTCTTAAAGTCCCCTCTGTGTGCCAGTAATTGTGCAAGATATATTGCTGCAGATGGCTCCTGATATGACATATTAGAACACACCCGAAGGGGCGAAAAGTGGTAATTGGGGGCTTCAAATTCACATCTACTGTGTCACGCTGTGGGAGAGGAAGAGATGGAAGGAGCCCAATCCCCCCCAAAAATATAGAAAAAAAAAATCTTGTATTGAGCGTCAAAGGATGCAAAACTTAGTGCAGCGTCAACAGGCGGCGTCAGCCGCAGTGACAGCTCTGACTTAGCCTGCAGCCAGTGGAGGAGGTGAAGGCTGAGTGAGACTGTGGAGGGGCTGATCAAAGAGCCGTGGCAGGTCGACAGGAGGCGGGTGACACCCAGGAAAGCTTTCTGGCATGCTGCTTCTATCCCGAGCATCTTAGTGAAACGTGAACTGAAATTATCATCAGAGAGAGTTTAATCAAAGGAAAGCCGCTTCTTCTTCAAGCCGCCATCAGAGAACAGCTTTCAGAAATGTCAGATGTCAAACATGTTTGCAGAATCAGATTTTTTTTTAATCCGGAAACTTTGGTGGTCAAAAGTGTAACTTGTGAGTGCTATTGCTGATTTTAGCTTGAAGCCACTTCCTTGAGTTTACGGAAGGCCTCTGTGGGTCGTGGAAGTGAAACCCGAAAGATAAAAAATTGTTCTGCTGATGGATTCGGGAAAAGCTGCCGCTTCTGGGAAAACTTCTTTTTAGCTTCCTAAGCAGTGTGCATTCCTTTAAGCAATAAACCAGCTGGAAATTTCACCTTATCACATTTTCAAACTAATCACAAACTTCAGGCTATTTTATTGGGATTTTATGTAATAGAACAGAATAATTTGGCTTATAATGAAGTAGAAGAATTACACAAGGGTCTTTAATATAAAAAAATAAAAAAAATCTCCTTTTACTCTGATACAACTGCATAAAATTCAGTTCTCCTTCGAAATGACAGCATTTAATAAACAGAAAACAATTAAACTTTGGCATAAAGTCTGTGTTCAGTTAGCAAAACACCAGACATTTAAAGCAGGGGTGGGATGTTAAACTATATTTGAAACTTTTAATAACTTAATAACTTCTGGTTACTATTTAATTGAAAAACAATCCAATATTGCATTGATACCAAGACCTAAACTAAGAGGCTGAACAAGAACAGAATTGGTTTTAAAATGCAAGAGTCCATGGTTAGCCTGGATGGGCTAGAGATCCATACTGAAATATTCATAATTTATTAGTTATGCATTTAAAATATACATATTCTATAAAAAAAATTGCAGTAAGAGGATTTTGTGATTCAATTAAATTCAATTCAGTTTATTTCTATAGCTCCAATTCACAACACATGTCATCTCAAGGCACTTTATAGT